GGCCACTGTGCCTGGTGGAAATTAATATATTTTGAAAGAACCCTTTCAATCAAAGGGAAATTAGAAAATATTTACATCAAATTATAAAGAAATTATAACATTAAATTTTGTGGGATGTAGCTAACACAGTGCTCAAGATGGAAATTTATAACTTTAAAGGTATATTTGGAAAAACAATGATTTTAAGTTCATTATCCAACCTTCCACTTGAAAAAGCTAGAAAAAGAAAATTATTCCCAAATAAAACAAAGGAAGGAAATAAAGATAGGTGTGAAAAATCACAGTAAAGAGATAAAAAGCACAACAGAAAAGAAGTTCTCAAACTTTTTGATTTCAGGATTATCTTTTACTCTTAAAAATGACTGATGATCCTAGAGTCTGGTTTATGTGTTTATATCTCCCAGTATTTACTGCATTAGAAATTAAAACATATTAAAATATATTTTATTACTTACTTAAAATAAAAATAATAAGTCCACTCAAACAACATAACTTTTTATGAAAAAAGCTGTATTTTTCCAAAAGAAAACTTTGTTGTGCAGAATAGTATTGTTTTACAGTTTCTCAAATTTCTGTAATGTCAGGCTTAATAGAGGACAGCTGGAATATCATTCTCTTCTGCATTTAATTATTATTTTGGTTGAAGTATGTGAAGAAAACCCAGCTTCACATAGATATACAGCTAGGAAGGTTAGTATTTTAAAAGCTTTTAACAGTAATTGTAGATGTCCTTTTTTTTTTTTTTTTAATGTACCAGGGATTGAACCCAGAGGGGTTTAACCACTGAGCCACAATCCCAGCCCTCTTTTATATTTTTATTTAGAGACTGGGTCTCACTGAGTTGCATAGGGCCTTGCTAAGTTACTGAGGCTGGGATTACAAGCGGGCACCACTGTGTCCTTTTATTACTTACACTGTACCATATCTTTTTGTCATTTTTTTTTAGAGAGAGAGAGAGAGAGAGAATTTTTTTAATATTTATTTTTTAGTTATCGGCGGACACAACATCTTTGTTTGTATGTGGTGCTGAGGATCGAACCCGGGCTGCATGCACGCCAAGCGAGCGTGCTACTGCTTGAGCCACATCCCCAGCCCTGTACCAAATCTTTTTGTACTTATTAGTTGTAGTTGAACACAATACCTTTATTTTATTTATTTATTTTTTATGAGGTGCTGAGGATCGAACCCAGCGCCTCACACATGCTAGGCAAGTGCTCTACAGCTGAGCCACAACCACAGCCCCACTTTTTGTACTTATTACGTTGAAACCCATCGGTCCATCTTCCATTCTGAATGGATCTTTTACCCACTTTGTAAAACCACTGGAAAATATTGGTTCACATAGTTTTGCAGATTTTTCTGTATTTTGACATTTCATTATATAATATAAAAAGGAATCACACTCATTAATATGACCACTACTGTTTGTGCAGAGTGGTGATTTGAATCATGGCCTCTAATTGCCTTATGGTTGTGTTGGGCTGGGAACATCCTGTGCAAAGGTGCAGGTCAAGATGGCCCAGCTGGTATGGTGAGGCTGACCTGAGGAGGCTCCTTGCAAAAGCACAGAGTTGTCAAGTTCAGACCTTGAGCTCAGGCACGAGCTCTCCGGGATAGAGAATTCTGAGCATAACAAGATAACCCCGATGTCTCACCAGTCCTGTGTCCTTCAGACTGCCTGCTTTGTAGAAACTTTCCCACAGATAACCTTTTGATGAAACTGATATAATAAACGTGCTGAGCCACCTCTGGGTCACTGCTCCTCCATCAGAGGTTAGTGCCCACCTGACCTCAGCTTTTCTATGTCTCTTTTCTTCATCCCCCACAGCCCCTCATCTGGTTTCCGAATAACAGTTGTTCAGGTTGCTGCAACTGGTGTCCGAACAGGATCATGAGGTCCAGGCAACTACTTTCAGAAGGCTTTAATTGTTGGAAAGTTGTTGAATTCATGGTAGCAAATACAAACTTTCCAAAATTCAAATTTTCTCTTGAAAGATTGAATTGTATAACTGACAACAAATATTGTCAATTATTTCTCTTAAAGTTTCAGATTCTAACCTTGTTTATTTTTAAGAAAATGTCTGCCAAATACTCAAGTGTAAATGACTAGTTTGATTATTAGCCATTCCTTTTAAGTAAAAATGATGTTCTGGATAAAATGATATCCCCTGATAGTTGACCTTGAGACTCAATCACAGCGTGTTTTCTTAAGTCAACATCATACTATAGCAGAGTGTTTATGCCTATTTACTAGTTCCTCACATGAAATACTGAATAAGAAGTAAATTAAAGGAACATTAATAAAATTCACAATTTTTACAAGGATCATTTTATGAGAAATATCTACATGTATATATTTCAGTGCAACAAAATAGGTGATATAGGGGAGAGTCTAGCTCATATCTTTGGTTTTTTTTTTTTTTTTTTTTTGGTACCAGGGATTGAACTCAGGGGCACTCAATCACTGAGCCACATCCCTAGATCTATTTTGTATTTTATTTAGAGACAGGGTCTCACTGAGTTGCTTAGTGTGTCACTTTTGCTGAGGCTGGCTTTGAACTCTTTGATCCTCCTGCCTCAGCCTCCTGAGCCACTGGAATTACAGGCGTGTGCCACCTCACCCAGCTAGCCTATATTTTTATGTAACTTACTTGTGTTTTCAAGACCTGTCATGCTCCAATTCCAAATATATCACTTCCATTGAATGACAGATGGCTGTTTTGTCCAATTGAATTTATGATTTCACAAGTCTGACTAAATATTGACCTAATGATAGGAAGTATACATCTCTTAGTCACTTAATGTCCTATAATCTGGCACATGGCTTCTTTGATGGTTCAGTAGAGTGCCAGGAGTTGTTTTTCAGAATGTACAGTTCCTTTACTGCAGAGAATATGGTCTTGCTCTAGAACTGCAGAGATCTATTACCATGGGCCTGAGTTGGGACATATCAGAAACTCCTTACAGCAATTTGATTCACCACAACAAACTCTAGCACCATGGGACTTGCCAGGGCATTACAGCCCAATTGACAAGGCTGCTTCTACCACAACCTGACCCCACCCCCCAACCTCTTCTCTCTCTTTTGTTACTGGGGATTGAACCCAGGGGCACTTTACCACGGAGCTACATGCCAAGCCCTTTTTTTGTTTTATTGAGACAGGGTCTTGCTAAATTGCTTAGGACCTCATTGTTGATGGCTTTGAACTTGTGATCTTCTTGCCTCAGCCTCCAAAGTCACTGGGATTACAGGTGTGTGTCACTACAATCGATTCCCCACTCCATCTCTTGATAGGAGGAGCTATAAAGCATCATGGCCAAGTTTTGCATTCTGCCATGGAATTCTTGATGTATTAAATGGCCCCTCTTGTTATCCTATGTGAATAAACTATAAATTCCTGTGTTATTTGGAATAACAGAACATACTGAATTAATGATACTGAATCAGAGAATTGCTAAGCAACTCAATTAGTCAAATCTGCCTTAATGGAAGATCTTCGCCACAAGGAAGGCTTGCAAAAACAAAACCCAACATTCTGCCTTGCTTCTAGTGGCTGATTATTTTTATATAGCATAGTCAGGAGGAAAAACTGACTCAAGAAATAAAACAAAAAGTAACAGGGGTACCCTATCTAGTCCTGATTCTAAAACAATAGAAAGGTCAATATCTTTAAAAACTTATGTACCAAAATGATTTTTGTCTTTCTTACTGTGCTGATGTCTAGATATATGTCCTATGAATATGCTAATCATGTGTTATGAAAGATTTTTTTTTTTTTTTTTTTCTTTTCTCCGCATGAACACACTCAAGTGAGCTTGTGGTCCCTTCTATTTTCAAAGCCAGCAGTGAAACATCCTCAAATCTCTTTCTCCTCTGCTTCTGGCATGGCACCTTTCTCTGACTTGGATTCTCTGGCTTCCCTCACCTAAGAAAGCCTCTGATTACGGTGGGCCCACCTGGATAATCCAGATAGTCCTTCCATCTCAAAGAGTTTTAACTGAACCACATTCTGCTGTCCATGTGGGGTGACATTCACAGATCCCAGGGATTAGAATGCATACATCCTTGGGAGGCAAGGGTGACTAGTACAGGGTGATTCCAGAGGTCGGCTATTGCGCAAAAGACTATAAACATTTGTACAGCTTAGTGGGTTTGTGCATGTGAGCAGAAATCCTTATTTCTCCGGGAACAGAGACCCGGGAGTATAATGACTGGATCGTATATAATTGCATATTTTGTTTTACGAGGAACCGTCCATGTGTTTCCCAGACTGGCTGGAATATTTCACATTTGTACCACCACGTACGAGGGACCCAACCTCTCTGCATCCCTGTCAGTGTCTGGGGTCGTTACCGTTCCTCAGTTTTGCCAATCGGAAAGGCGGGCAGTGCCATCTTGACTGTGGTTTTAATTTGCCATCTGCTAACGATCCTAAGCCGTTTTTCCCTGTGGATATCCACGACGGAGAAGGTGGCGGGGGCTGGCTAGCTGGGCGGCTGCGGGGGGGAAGCGCAGCCTTTCTGTGGAGGGGTTTACCGAGTCGGGGCGGGCGATCGCGGGCGGCCCTAGCCGGACCCCAGCCTGTGGCTCTGCTGGGGCGGCCGTGGCGATCTCTGCGGGAACCCAGGGTAAGGACGGGGGGGGGGGGGGGCGCCCCCGAGCCGCGCCCCCGGGGGCCTGGGCCCAGGCCAGCAGCGCCGGAGTCCGCAGCGCGAGGCGGGACGCGAGTGCGCGGCGTCGCCCCTGCGGCCTGCGTTGCCCCCGTGGACGGGGCGGGGCGTCGGGAGCGCGGCCTTAGTCGGCGGTCTCCCTCGAGGACGACCACTCTAGCAGCACCGGCCCCTCGGTCGTGGCGGGAAGGAGGGCAGGGGAAACCCAGGAAGCCACACTCCCTTGGCGGGCTCCTCGCCCGTCGTCGCCTCGCCTCGCGGGCGCGGGGCCGTTTCCCGCCACCCGCAGTCGGTGCGGCCGCGAGGGGGCGCGTCAGGGCCGGCGCACCATGGCGCTCAGGGGCGGCTTCCTGGGCCTGTTGGCCTGGCTCCTGCTCCTGCAGCCACGGCTTGGCGAGGCCCGCTCGGCCTCCGCGACCTCCGACCCCTCCGAAATTTCCGATCCCTCCAACCCCTCCGGCCCCTCGGAGTCCCCTCCGCCCACCGACAAGATGCTGCAGACCCCGCCCGTGGCCACGGGGCCCACGGGGCCCACAGTTATGGTGGTTAGTTCAGGTGATCGTGATTCCTCCAGGACGACTGAATTCCCATCAGGTGACTTCTCGGCCACACCCTGACGCAGAGACTGCCTGGCCCGAGTGATCAGGACCCCTGCGGTCCAGGAGCAGGATGCAGGAACTGCGGTCCCCGGGTGCTGGGTGCGGGCTCTGAGCTACCCAGCCTGCCCTTGAGATCTGAGGGGACACAGCCATTCCCCAAGGAGTCTCAGGGATGCGGACCTGCCCTGGGGTCTGAGGGACGTGGCTTGCTCCTCCGGGTTTGAGGTTCTGGCTCAGGTTTTACTCTCAGCCCTCCCTTCACTGATCTGCTCCAGCATGTGGCCACAGGTCTATGAGGATAGTTGGTGGAAGGCCAGCCGTGCGGACAAGGTGGCCCTGGCAGGTGAGCCTGCAGATCAATAATCAACACATATGCGGAGGCTCCCTCATCTCCAATCAGTTCGTGCTTACTGCAGCCCACTGCATATTTGGGTAAGTGAGTGGGGCCCAGAGGCTTGGGCTCCTGATGGGGCTGTGTGACCTGGAGCTAGTCTTGTCCTCCACCAAGAGTTTCCTCTTCCTCATCTGAAAAGGGGGATGGGGTGAGAGCCTCCATAGTTTTTTATTTATTCTGGATGAGACCTGAGGATTTGCAATTCTGACACGTGGACAGGTGATACTAGTCTGGTGACCACACTTGGAGTACTGCTGGCTAGAGTGGTCAAGGGTTGGGGAGGGAATGTGGTTTGGAGGGAGGGAGTGGCAGATGGCTGGCCGGCAAGGATGGGGTCAAGCTGGGAAGTACCTGGACTGTGTGGAAGGGAAGTGTGTGTGTAGACCCTTCAGGATCTCTCCGTAGCCATCTGGAATACACAGTGAAGCTGGGGGACAAAGACCTGAAACATCGAGCCCCAACGTCAGTCGAGATCCCAGTCAAAGACATTGTCATCCACCAGTATTACTCTCCTCTTGGAATCATCGAACATGACATTGCACTTGCTATGCTGGCCTTCCCTGTGAATTACTCCACACACATTCAGCCTGTATGCATCCCTGAAAAGTCTTTCTTGGTAGAAACTGATACCTTGTGCTGGGTCACCGGATGGGGCAAGCTAAGCGAGCTAGGTGAGATTGTAAAGCAGGACTACAACAACCTTAGGCCCAGGAGGCGGATACCTGGCAGCTTGGTGTTGGTCTGCAAGCTAAAGGGAGGGACAGGGAGGTAGATTTTGTACTAGGTGGATAAGGGAGGAGGGGGGACAAGATGCTGCCAGGGAGTAATTTAACAACTGTTTGTGAATTTCTGTCGGTTTGTCAAGAGTTGGGGGCTTGGGCGTCAAGCATGGTGGGTTCTTTCAAGGGTAGATTTTAGGTAAGGGACTGATGAGCTGTCTGTGAATTTTAGTTGTTCCTCCACAAAAGTATCTGCTTTGTTAGCTAAGGAGCTTCCTGTTTGTGAGAAGAGGCCAGAAACTCTCAGTGGGCTTGTAGGACCTCCTATTCCTTGAAATTTGGGATTTTGGTACCTTTGGGGCACCATGTGTCTGAGAGTCTGTGATATTGTTCTAGAAAGTAAAGTTGCTTTATAGATACACAGGACACCCTGGTGATACTTAGAGTGACAGAGTTTGGTTGTTATTTCTCAGACTGACAAGACTTTGGCTTCCCTCTCCTGGGCTGTTTTTACTTTTGCTTTGGTTTGGATCTTAACATCATCCTACACTCATGTCAGTGTTAGACCTCATTTCCTCCAGGGTCAGCTGGGGACAATAGCCAGTTCCTAAGAGGATGCCTGTGTGTGAACACACTGAATTGAGACTCAGAGTAAGTACCACTGTGTCTGTCTAGTCTCACTCATGCAGATCCACTCCTAAATTTACTTTCTATAGATTCAGAAAGGGCATCAGAAGAGCTTCAGGAGGCTGAGCTAAACATTATTCGTCACCAGAAATGTAATGAGTTGCTTCAGAAAAGGACAAAAACTAAAGTTCAGTTTACCAAGGAAGGGACGGTCTGTGGCTATAATGATGAAGGAAAGGACTCCTGTCAGGTGAGTTTCATGAGCCCCTTGCTGCTCTGCATTACAGTTTTCTTCCCCCCAGGCAAAAGAGCCTGGGTCATCCCCTAGTTCCTCCATTCACCCTTATTCAAGTTAATGGTGTGCGAGGACAAGCCACCAGGACTCTCCTGAGTTAGCCTGACATAATCCTTCAGGAGAGAGTAGTGGATTCTGCCTGGCGCGGGGGGTGGGGGGTAGTGGTGGTGAATCAAGCATGTTATAATATGAAGTTCCATGTTTTGAGCCTCTTTTATGTGACATGCAATGCACTTGGGTGATCAGTTTATTCATTTCTGTCCCAGAGTAGGTGCATTATCTTTGTTTATATAGTTTTTTTGGAGCACAAATTTTTCAGTAGATAGACAATTTTTATTTGTTAAAATATTCAGTTCTGAAATCTCATGCTCACAGAAACTAGGAGCTGGCAGGTGCCTGGGGACACCACAGGTGTGCCCCGTTTGCCAGTAACTTGAAGTACCATCAGCCTGCTCTGATGTAGATCGAATCCATTTCTGCCATTTGTTTCTTTTCTCTTTCTCCAGGGAGACTCTGGGGGCCCCCTAGTCTGTGAATATAATACAACATGGATCCAGGTGGGAATTGTGAGCTGGGGCATTGGCTGTGGTCGCCTTGGCTATCCTGGTATATATACAGAAGTTAGTTTCTACAGGGACTGGATAGTTACTCTAATGAACCGGGCTTCCTGTCTGGACTCAGCAAACTTCCTCATGTTAAGCCTGTGTGTAGTCATCCCGGTGACCCCGTGATTACCCTGGCCCACTCCCCTCCTGTTTCTGAGTCTCCCACCAGGCCTCTCCTCTGACCTCTCTTTCCTTCTCAATGCCCTTTCTTCAAATTCTGGTTGGGATTCATCGCCCCTGAGGAGATCCACATGGAGCACAGCAGGGAGACTGGGGCCTGTGAAGTGTCCCAGCTGGTGCTCTGCTCATCTGCCTCAGCCAACCTGTGCCTGCTGGGAATATGGGTGAACTGATTCTAGCTAGAGGGCCAGCAGACCTGCCATTGGGAGCGTGGTGACTTAGGGACACCTTGCAGAACATCTGCCAAAGGAGAGAATTCATCACGGTGAAGGAAGGCCGAATCTGGCCCTAGTTTCAGGGTCTCCCTGAGACTTTGTCATACCAACCTGCAAGGTGATT